CAGCAAAATGGGAAGGATTAACACAGATGGAACAAACTTCCTTCGGCAAGGTAGTTTGTGGATTAGCAACAGGAGCAAAGCCAGATGATAGAATTTGATCGAACATATGGTTTAAGGCTTCTATTTGAGCAGCTAACTCACTAGACTTGAAACTAAATTAAACTAAAGTAGTCAGAGAGAGAGATCTTAGAGCTTTGACTTCACCACAATCGTCGTACAATGGTTAACTGTTTCAACTCTGGGGATTTAACAAATTATGTTTTAAATGAATTAAACTCAATAACATTCATTCAATTCGGATTTTAAAGAAAGATGTTTTATAAAATTAAGTTAACTATAACCTATGTGCGGTTAGCATGGACTATCCACCTACCTACTCTACCTACTTTAACTACTTTGTAAATAATTAATCTTTCCTAAACATAAACTATGAAAACATTCTTTTATAAAAACGTTGGAACACCATTATATGACCTCTATTCTTATGTCCGACAAGGCTCCGCCAGAAACCGTCCAGTAAGAATAGATTGAGAATAGAGAACAAATAGTTATATCTAAAATAAGGTAATAACAATTTGTAATCTATTTAAAGTATTAAATCCAATTGAGTTGTCTCAATTGCTCATGGTCATATAATCAAAAACATAATATACATTAAATAATTCCAGAGTTTAGAACAATCAAACCATAAAACTATATTAGGTTACATCAGTGCCCTAAGAGATGAATTAGCTACTCATGATGATACTAGATATCATCTGTGTTGGAGTTGTCTCCATCGTCACGGATAGCACTTCTCTTCTCAGGATCTTCACCTTCTAAGGTTGTGGAAACCCTAAAAGCCGCCACTACAGTATCAGCCTTAAAAATAATATGAGAAAAAAGGACTTCTTCTATCAAGGCCTGTGCCTTTTTTTATAGAGGAAAATAAAGGCTTGGTGGGCTTTTAGGTCTTCTGGCCCATCTGGGATGAGATACGGCTTGTAAAGAGAGTAATCCCGTAACTTAAATCTGACATGTCATGGAAGACTCAAGCTTTAGGAACAAGGGCTCGAGCTGTAAGGTTCAAGCTCGAGCTTCTTTGGATTGATGCTTGAGCTTCAATGAATGATGCTCGATCTTCACTTTGACACTTAGCCAAATTTCTTCAACTATTATCCGAAACGTCTTTTTCTTCAACACTTGGAATATTCTTGGGGCTTTATCTCTTTAACATTGCTTGATCCAAGCTTCATGGGCTCGAGCACTAAGTACCAGGCTCGAGCTTTAAGTACTCAAGGCTCGAGCTTTAGGTACTCAAGGCTCGAGCTTTGGGTAATGGTGTTTGATCCTTGAGGTTAGGCACGAGGTCTAGGAGCTTGATTCTTCTATGGAAATTAACTCTTTAAATTCCAACGCCTTGTGCTCGAGCTTGAGGGTCAAGCCTCGAGCACCCTTAGTTGGGGCTCGAGCTCTAAGGTGCAAGGCTCGAGCTTTAATGCCATGTTGAATTTTCTTTTTTTGACTTGTAGGGCTTGAGCCTTAAGACTTGGGCTCGAGCTTTGGATCCTGAATTCTTCCAAACTTCACCATTTAAGCTCTCGACTTGCTTTGGATGACCAGCAACGACTCTGTAAGCTTCAATATCATCATAAAGTCCCAATTTTAACCGTTTCTCTGAGAAAGTACCTATAAACACACATTAAACATAAAGCAGTCTAATAATGGATAGGATTATCACTTTAAGCCTTAACATACGTATATTAAGGGGCTTGAATATGCAATATTCAATGCTCATCAATATCCCTCAGATCTGTGCTCGGACTTGATCACCCGTGGCTCTAGAATCGAGGTGTATCACAATTCCCTCTAGGTCTGACCTACCTTGGATCTACCATCAATTGTTCAAACGCCACCTTAGTTATAATATTAGCACTTCTGCCTGGGTCCACCAAGACCCTCTTAATCAAGCAATTCGACACTATAAGACTTATCACCAATAAGTCCTCATGTGGTGTTTGAACCCTCTGAAAGTCGTCCTTGTCAAATCTGATCAAGGACATGTCCTTCTCCTGGCAGACCGTATTCATGCTTCTTATCATTCTCATCTTGTAAGCCTGCCTGAAACGTGTTCGTCTTAACTCCTCTGACTCATCCTCGGCTTCAAGTCGTCCGTGGATTGTGTTAATTACACGGATTGGTTGTCCATCCAGAGGGTTCGCTCGTGCATTTTACCTTGGATGGTCATCTTGTTGATTCTGATCCTTGCCTTAGACATAGTTGGCCAAGTCTCCCTTTGTAATCCACATCTCAACTTGTCTCATCAAGTTCCTACACTCATTTATCTGGTGTCCAAAGTCACTATGGAATGCACAGTGCTTGGTTTGGTCTCTTTGCTCGATTGGCTGGCTGATCAGTTGAGGTGCTCGGAACATCCCTTTATTCTTTTGATACAACCATGCCAAAGTGAACTTGAGTGGTGTGACTATCTCATCCAGTCGTTGCCTCTTTTCTGCCTTCCAATGCGTCACTCGGGGCTGTGACACTAGGGGTCTCTGAGCAGTTATCTTTGATTTTGGCTTGTTTTCCACCGTAACCATTGTGGTTCTCCTTGTATTGACTGCTTCATCCTCCTCAAGATACACATAGCTTTGCGCTCTTGAATTGAGTTCGTCCATAGTTTTTGGTGTGTCCACCACCAAGGACGTGTGGAACTAAGTCCCTCTGGTCATGGCGAGCTTAAACGCCTGTACTGCTAAGGATGGGTGGTAATCAATTACCATGCCCATCTCCAGATTATATCTAGTGACAAAGGCCCGGAGGCTTTCTCCCTCATGTTACCTCATAGTGAATAGACACGATATATCCTTTTCAATCCACTGATTACCGAAGTATTAGCTGACGAATAAGTTGCAAAGTGTTCGAAAGCTTCCAACCGACCCCCTCGGTAAGTGCTTGAACCAGTTGTGTGCAGGTCCGGTGAGGCTTGTTGGGAAGACTTTACACATCAGGGCGTCGTCTTCAGTGTCCAAGGCCATTTTTAATTGGATCTGATAGATGTGCTCAGTTAGATCCTTTGTTCCATCGAACAGTGTGAATATTGGCATTGAGAACTTTCTGGGTTTTGGTGCTTTCAATATCTATTCTGTAAAAGGTAAGTCGACTGTCTGAGCTAAAGATCAATTAGCCTCAGTGATCGCGGGGAGCGGCTTCTGGCCAACTGCTGCTTCATTGTGGCTCTCAGGTCATGAGTACTTACCTCTGACTGGCACAAATCATCGAACACCTTGTCTGCAGTTGATTCTTTCTGCCATGATGGAACAGCTTCAACGTGTTCCACCTCTTCCTCCAATCCGGGCATTCCGTGCTAAGGGTCCAGATAGACGGATCCTGCTCTCTCTACTCGACCGGTTGACGTTCGCTAGATCTACTCGTTCATCTACAACTGGTGGACAAGGGAGTGGTGGAGCGTCTCTTTGTTCTATTCCGGATCTCAACTCGGCGTTCTCCCATCGTAGAGTCTCTACGATTTGCATCAGATCGTCATACTTGACCCATTGGTCCTCCTCCTGTTGGCAGGAGCCTTCTTCACCGATTGTAGTTCCCGATCGAAGCTGTATCATTCATTGCTGAAATCAATGAATCCTTCTATGGCTTCTCACAGACGGCGCTAGATGAAGATGCAAGAAAATGTTCTTCTATATTAAGAAAAGATTTTCTCACACTCCAAACAATCTGCCTTTCTTTATCTGTCTAGCTTTTATTTATACAAGCTTACACTTATCCTAATTTCTTACATTTTGCCCCTAGGTTACAGGTTAATGGGCCCTCTTCATTTATGGGGCGGTCCGTTTATCCCAAACAGGCCCAAATGTTGGCATGTCATTATTATTTTTAACTGAATACAACTTGGGTGACGAGCAACCCAGTCGATCGGGTCTGTTGAGTTGGCCGGCTCAGGCCCATTCACATTTCCCAACTCTTCAGTACTATTATGCCAAACATAGTCTAGTACTATTAAACTTCGATATTAATGCAGCAGGTTATGTAACACGGACACGATAAGGTTTGAAGCCTTGGATACGACTATAGATAAATATAATTTTTTATTTATATAAATATATTGAGTAAAAATATTATAAGATTTTAATTCATTTCTAATTTATATACTAAGAGTTTGACTTTTCACTTGTGATCATGTATAAAATGTCAATACTTTTTAATAGATAAAAGTTGAATATTTTAGAATGTGTTAATATTATATTCAAGATTACAACGTAAACTTGTATTAAAAATATTTAAAAGTGTGGCATTAAGTGTCTTGGTGAAATGTCTAGAAGCCTCTGCAAAATTTTCAAAATAATAAAAATTTATTTTTATTTATAAACACGTATATAAAGTATAAGATACATATCCGTAACATTTTTGTATGGACACTTATCCGATATGGCCCATAGAAGTGTGCGAACTTCATAATGCAAGAGTAACCTACCCAATTGTCAAAATAAAATCCACAAAATTTTTAAACCACAAATATCCAAAATGCGAGTCACTATGATTTTAGAATTATGATTTTTTTTTTTTTTTTTTAAGAAGTACGATCTGAAAAAAAATAGTGCATTTCAAAACCTAAATTGATGTCACTTGATAGTATCGATATTCATACCACTACTTCACAAAACTACATTCAATCTGTCTGACTATTACCTATCCTTGAAAGACAATGGACAAAGAACAAGACAGAGTGTGCTCTGTGTCTCTCGAAGGTAATTTGGCTTTTACAGACCCGAACAAGACGGAGACCATTTTCAAAATCTTTGTGCGCAAATTGCCAGAAAGCGTGGCCACTAACAACTGCATCCCTTTGTTTACTTCTGCTTGTATCAACTCAGAAAACGCATCCACAAACGGCCTCCATTCACACCAGGATAACCCACCTAAAAAACTTTTCTTTTCCCTCACTTTCCTCAGATCCAAACACGCACATCACGGAGGTTCGATTCAGTAAAAGAAAATAAAAATCACAATAACATCACACCTCTAATTATATAATAATAACATAATAGATCAATCATATCTAAATTTACAAAGGATCTCAGAAATCAAGAAACTAGCACATAGTTAGGATACAGATCTGATCATACAAACACATATAATGACACGAATTAAACGAAAAACCAAAAGTTAAAGCAGAATCAAGACAAATTCAAGCTTAGTTTAAGTCATTTGCTTCGGTTATTGAAATTCATCTTCTCGTAGTAACGAATCGAGAGCAGAGACAGCGAGAGATGAACCTCATCCTTTCCCCAGCGAGTTTTGGCGGTGGCGGGCTTCGCCGGAACCGCCGGACGCGGCGGAGGAGGTAGACACGGCCACGCCGACGACGAGGAGGCGGAGGATGAAGAGGAGGAGGAGGAGGAAGAAGGCGGCTTGGAGAGAGGCCAGAGGTAGAGAGAGTGGAGGCGACGGAAGCCGCCTAGGGCAAGAACCACCGATCGGAGCTGTTGGCTGCCGCAGCCGGTGTTGGCCCAGTGCCTGGTGCAGATCAGCTCCCAGAGACGCTCGTCCTGCGCCGTCGTGTGCCACTGCTTGCTGACACACGCGGCGGTGGCCAGCGTGAGCGCGTCCACGTGCTTCAACACCTCATACAGCAAGTTCTCGTCCATCAACACAGATGATGATTTCTTCGGCTCCTCCTCCTCCTCCTCTTCTTCTATCTTGATCTTCTTCATTTTCTTATCATCGCCGGTGACCGGATCTACATCGGTGGCAATTGATCGCTTCATGGCCACTGGATCAGTATATTGTTATAAATATAGATATATGGATATATAGAGAAATAAAAGGAAGAATTCCAAATGCGGAACACTTGCTCTTCTCTCTCAGTGAGGAAATAACGAGGGCTGGGTTGAGGGGGGTGGGGTTAGAAGAGGTTATGGGTATCACCTGCTTTTTGGTCCTTTACGATGACGACAATTTGTGGTTTGGAAATTGGGACCTCTATAATTCCAATAATTAATTACCCTTCTTGTAATAGACATTTATTGAGGGACTTGCAGGCAAATAAATTTCAAGTCAATAGACGAAGTGGATTATTATTACTCTGCAGAATTTACCTTCCAATCTTTAGAACAGTTGTGTACAAATTTTTGTGAAAATTTAATGTGTCATGATATATTTATATAAAAAATTTGTATAACATATTTTTAGCACTATACTTTTTATATAAAAAAATATTCATCAATAATAACTAATAACGTATCATATCAATAGCGTATATAACTTTTACAAACTTACGTGATTTACCTTACTATTTCGTGATTAAACCTTACGTGACAATCTTCCTCAATTAGAAAAAAATAAATAAATAAAATAATTAATAATTTCCCTTATATTTCATTTTTCCATCCCACCAATAGCAAAATATGTAACAACAATTGCGATTAAATTGACTAATCACCGAAAAAAGAAAAAAAATAATAATAATTTGTATAATTGTGTCAAACAACAAATATATAAAACGTGATTAAAATATATATCTAATATTTGGCTAGTACATATTTATCTCATTAAAATAGAATATAAAAAGGATAAAAAAAAATCTAAAAAACCCTTAGAATCTACGACGATAATTGCAAAAGATAAGATCAAATGAAAGTGATGAATCAAACTATATTTATTATAAAATAAAAAAATAAAAAAAAATAAAAAAAAAGAAGATAGTCGAGCAGTTTTTACCTTACTGCCAGTTACAGATTATTCTTTATGACGCTTTAGAAAAGTGGGAGAGAAGAAAGAGAACCACGAGTGGGAAAGGGGGAGGAAAGAGAAAATATGCTATTTGACTGTGTAAAAGGGCTATGTAAAATACACAACCCTTTTACACAGTGGTGATGTGGCAGTGTATCTTAATAGTCTGCTGGAAATTTAAAAAATTTACAAATCATATGTGACAATGTATATTTTACACAAAATGATTTTTTAACAAGCCGCTGAAGATGCTCTTAGGCAAATTGATAATACTAAGGCGGGTGAAGATTTTTTGAATATTATTAATTATCACATCTAATTTTGATACTTAAAAAGGATTTGTTCATTTATTGTTGGTTCACAACAATGATCAGGATGATGTATATTTTGATTGGTGAAGATCTAAGTATTGTCCTAGGCAAATTACACACGAACGTTTATTACTTTGCACTCGCTTGAGATCTAATGTCTATTCTATGACATTCTTATGTTACGTTTGGTGTGCAGGAATAAAATGGAATGCAAGTGGGAATGTAATAAGAATGTGAATGGAATAGTCATTCTCATTTTATTGTTTAGTTGTAAATATTAAATGTGTTGGAATAGAATAATAATAACCATTCTAGTGTTTAGTTGAACTAATTTGAAATTTATAATGAAATGAATTTCAAATTGAATTCTCTAAAATACCCCTCTTATTGACAAATAAATTAAATTAACAAAATAACAATCATTTATAAATTTTTAAAAAGAAAATGGCAGTGGTGGTGGATAATGGTGAAGATGGTGGTAGAGGTGGAAAACAGTAGTGGTGTAGGTGATAGTGTTGGAAGGCGGCAGTGATGGCGATGGTGGAAGGAAACGTTAATGGTAGTGGTGTGGTCGTGGTGGAAGCAGATAGTAGTATATGTGGTACTAGTGGAAGCAGATAGTGGTATAGGTGGTGCTAGTGGAAGCAGATAGTGGTGTAAGTGGTGCTAGTGGAACGAGATAGTGATGTAAGTGGTGGTAGTAGAAGGTAGCGGTGGTGAAAGGTAATAGAGGTGACAATGCTAGTGGTGGAAGATGGTGGTGGTGGTTAAAGTGGGTGGTGACGAAGGTGGTGGAAGTCGGTGGCGGTGTTGAAAGTCGATGGTAATAAATGGTGGTGGTGATGGTGGTGGAAGCGGTGGAGGTGGAGGTGGTTGAAGTGGCAAAGGTGGTAGTGGATGTGGTGGTGGTAGAAGGCAGCGGTGGTAAAGGCAGTGAAAGTGATGGTGGTGGTATTGGTGGTAGAAGGTAATAGATGTGGCGGCGGCGGTGATGGTGGAAGGCAATAGAGGTGGCGGTGGTGGTAGTGGAAGGCAATGGGGATGGCGGTGGCGGTGATGATGGTGGCAGTGACGGCAATAGGGGCAGTAGTGGAAGTCGATGGCGGTGGTAGTGGTGGTGGCGATGGCAGAAAGCAGTGGCAGTGGAAGGTTGTTGAGGTGGCGTCGGTGTGGTGGTGGTGGAAAGCGACGACAATGGTGGTTATGGCAGTGACGGTGGTGGCAGTCGTGGAAAGCGGCAATGGTGTAGGTGGTGGCGGTGGAAGGTGGCAGTGGTGTTGCAATGGAGGCGAAAATGGTGATAGGGGCAGTGGCAATGACAGTGGTGGGAATCGAATGTGGTAGTGGTCGAAGACAGTGGCATTGGTGGAAGTCCGTGGTGGTGGTGGCGATGGTGAAGGTGGTAGTGAGGGCGGCGATGGTGTGGCAGTTGAAGGTGGCAACAATGATGGCGGTGGCAGTGATGGTGGTGGAAGGCGATGGTGAAAGAGGTGATTGTGGTGGAAGGTGGTGGGGAGGAAGGCAGAGGTGTTGGTGGCGATGGTGATAGTGGTTTTTAGACTTTGAACATGAGGTTTTTTGGGAATTTAATTTTATAAATAAATAAAAAATAGTTGGGAATGGAATTGTTATTCCATAGATTTAGTTGTGTAATGGATTTTGATTCCAATGGGATGATGACCATTTCCACTTTTTGCATACCAAATAAAGAAATTGTTGAAATTGACATTCTATTTCATTCCATTCCTACAAACCAAAACCAACATCAATATATTTTTCTTTTATCAAATTTTATAAATTAACAATTTTGTCTTTTTTTTTTGTATAAAATAGAATATATTATTATAATATAAGGGTATTACTGAATTTTCAGATTCAAAGTCACTTTCATACAAATGGATTTAAAAAAAATCAAAATAATAATTGATTTTAGAAAAAGTCAGTATAATTTATTAAAAAATAAAAGGTAAAAGATAATTAAAATTAGAGCTGACAAGTGTGCCCTCAGTAATGTTGACAAAACTTGTTGTGTTTGTTACTGAGGCATCTTTTGGTTCATTTTTGTATATTGTGGTTTGGATAAAAGGTTACTCCCTGATACTACAAACTCCAAAGAATAAAATTATAAAGGCAAAGAGGAAAATTTTAGAATATAATGAATTTCAAATTGAATTCTCCAAAATACCCCTCTTATTGACAAATAAATTAAATTAACAAAATAACAGTCATCTATAAATTTTTAAAAAGAAATGGCGGCAATGGTGGATAATGGTGAAGATGGTGGAGGAGGCAGAAAGCAATAGTGGTATAGGTGGTAATGTTAGAAGGTGGCAGTGGTGGCGATGGTGGAAGGAAGCGGCAATGGAAGTGGTGTGGTGGTTGTGGAAATAGATAGTGGTGTAGGTGGTGCAAGTGGAAGGAGATAGTGGTGTAAGTGATGGTGGTGGAAGGTAGCGTTGGTGGAAGATAATGGAGGTGATAGTGGTGGTGGTGGTGGTGGTGGTGGTGGAAGATGGTGGTGGTGGTTAAAGTCGGTGAAGGCGATGGTAGTGAAAGGAGGTGACGATGGTGAAAGTCAGTGGCAGCGCTGGTGGAAAGTGGTGGCTGGGATGGTAATAGATAATGGTGGTGGCGGTGGTGGAAGCGGTGGAGGTGGTTGTAGTGGTGGAAGAAGGTGGTGGTAGAAGAAAGCAGTGGCGATAGAGGTGGCGGTGGAAAGCTGTGGAGGTGGCAGCGGTGTGGTGGTGGTAGAAGGCAGGGACAATGGTGGTTATGGTAGTAACGATGGTGGATAGTGGCAATGGTGTAGGTGGAAGGTGGCAGTGGTGTTGCGATGGAGGCGACAATGGTGACAGGGGCGGTGGCAATGACGGTGCTGGTAATCAAATGTGGTAGTGGTGGAAGGCAGTGGCATTGGTGGGAAGTCCGTGGTGGTGGTAGTGATGATGGAGGTGGTAGTGGAAGTGATGACGGTGTAGCAGTTGAAGGTGGCAACAATTGTGGTGGATTTCTGAATTGCTGGTTGGCTAAGCCCATGCCCGAAGACCCGAGAATATCAAAATCAAATTGGCAGTAAACGAACACAGAATATAAGATGATAAATAAGAATAGATAAAATGCTGAAAAGAAAACTAAAATGATAATACAATATTTAAATAATCGGAATAAAATTCCATTAAAAAATAAATTCTTCTGATACAACTAATCCTCCAAAATACAATTCGGGAATCCATACTGTGTGGACCCCTAGAAAAATCCCAAACTGATAGAAACAACAGTAACAGTTGTCTACATCTAAATACTGAAACATAAAGTCGATGGCAGTGGCAGTGGTGATGGCGGTGGCAGAAGGCAATGGTGATAGAGGTGGCGGTGGAAGGCTGTGGAGGCGGCGGCGATATGGTGGTGGTGGTGGAAGGCGGCGACAATGGTGGTTGTGGCAGTGATGGTGGTGGTAGTCGTGGAAAACGACAATGGTGTAGGTGGTGGCGATGGAAGGTGGCAGTGGTGTTGCGATGGAGGCGACAATGGTGATAAGGGTGGTGGCAATGACAATCGTGGCAATCAAAGGTGGTAGTGGTGGAAGACAATGGCATTGGTGGAAGTCTGTAGTGGTGGTGGTGATGGTGGAGGTGGTAGTGGAGGTGGCGATGGTGTGGCAGTTAAAGATGGCAACAATGGTGGAGGTGGCAGTGATGGTGGTGGAAAGCAATGGTGAAATGCGGAAGTGATTGTGGTGGAAGGTGGTAGGGAAGAAGACAGAGGTGTTGGTGGCGATAGTGATGGTGGTTTTTAGATTTGGAACATGAGGTTTTTTAGAAAGTTAATTTTATAAAATAAAAAAATAGTTGGGAATTAAATTTTTA